CTAAATCCCCGCCTAGCCACGCGTTTCTGGGGAACGGCGAGCTCCTCGGCGGAGTTGGAGAGCTTCCCGCGAGGAGAGAGCCACGTGGAGGGGCGTGAAGGAGGCTCATGCAGGCGAGGTGGACGCGGGGAAGAGGAAATCGGCTATCACCACGACAATAATATTTCCATTACCTGATCCATCACCGACCGAGGCTTCGTCTGCGGGTCATAAAAGTCTAGTCCTCAAGATACGATCGCGGCTGCCCTCCCTGTGCTATCTACGAGTGGTTGCGATAAAGGTATTAATCGAAACTTTTCCCAAAGAGTATATCTAACCAGACACACCACACATGAAGAATTAATAACCGCCACGAAAAGAAAACAACCTTCATGCGGAAGTCCAGCGGGGGTGGGGGTGGTGGGGGGGCTGCCCGAACACCCACCATAACAGGCCACACATCTTATCAGCCGCGTGTAGTAAGGATCCCCTTCCTCGCGAATCCCTGCTTGCCCCGTCCTTCCCCGGCGGTGGGGGAGGGGCGTTATCAGGGCAATGGTGCGGCGATAACGGAGACTAACGATGAGCCGCGGAAACGCCCGACGATCGGACACTTGCTCCGCTCGTCTCTCCTCTCTCTCTCGTTTCTCTGGGCGGTCTCTCCTTCCCGGTATATCTATTCCCCTTCTCTTTCTTGACGCCTTTTGTCTGTAGTAATCGCTTGTGATATGGGGTTAGAGAGATAGATGGATATATATATATATATATATATATATATATATATATATATATATATATATATATACATATATATATATATATATATATATATATATATATATATATATATATATATATATATATATATATATATATATATATATAGAGAGAGAGAGAGAGAGAGAGAGAGAGAGAGAGAGAGAGGAATCATAGAAAGAGACAGAGAGAGATGATAGATGGATCGATAAAGAGATAGATAGATAGTTACAGAGAGTAAGAAAGATAGATAGATAGATTGATAAAGAGAGAGAGGGAGATAGATAGATAGATATAGAGAGGGGGGAATCAGTGGAGTAAACTTCTTTTGTAGTATTGTAAAGTCAGTGACACAGATAATAAAAAGTTAAAGAGAATGAGATTAAAACTTTTGGAGAGAGAGAAAAAAGGGAGAAAGTTTTCGAGACGGACTTCTTTTAAAACAGAATATAATCACGAAGTTCGACAAAATATGCATCAGCATCCATTATACATGAATATGTTCTTTGGCGCTCAAAGATCCCTTTCTTTTTAAGTAACGAAATGTTTTAGTGAACGAGCTTTTCCAACCAAGCCCGCCGTTTTTGCCCTGGAGTACCATGGCAGCTTGGAAATGTTCGCAATATCTCACTGTGGGAGAGATATTGTCGCGTTACCCTGCAGAAGGACCGAAATTGTTATCACAAAAGTTGCATGAACATTTGACAAACAAGTTGCCTTGAGAGTCTGTGATTTTATGGTCTGTATGTCTGTCTGCCTCTCTCACTCTCTTTCTCTCACTTTATATATATATATATATATATATATATATATATATATATATATATATATATATATATATATATATATATATATATATATATATATTTTTTTTTTTTTTTTTTTTTTTTTTTTTTTTTTTTTTTTAATTTATGTATGTATATGTATGCATGTATGGATATGTGTGTGCGTATGTACTGTTAGTGCCTACACGCACTCAGACAGTTTTCAGGTTGATGTTTCATTCATATGATATGTTGATTCAATTATGCCCAGTGAATCAAATGTTGCAAGCGCTGTTGTCTAACGTTTACTCTGGCATTCACGCTGTAATTGCACGGAATGAAGTGGCATGAAGCGGAATTGCTTACTTTCGTTCTGCAAAGACATTACACCTACTACAGACTCAGATTAAACAGGTTTTACTGTGAGATATCGGTGTTGCAATATCTTCGAGTGGTGCCGCAAATGAGGGATTTGTTATGTGTCACTTGCACCCGTGGCATACATCAAGCTGAGTTGTCGCCGCTAAAGAATTGGCCAATTTCCGCCTCATTTGTATGTCGAAGGACGGAGGAGCAGACGAATAGAGAAAAACTGGTATCCGAACGAGTCTACTTCCCTCCCGGGCCCACGCTTTCACCAATGGCCTTGAGTGTCTAGTCTCAAGACTGACTCGGGCATTGGACTAATAAATCGATGCAATGAAGTTTTGTTAGCTAGATTGCGGTCATCTCTCCCTCTCTCGGTGGCTCTCTCTCTCTCCCTTTCTCTCTCTCTCTCTCTCTTTCTCTCTCTCTCTGTCTCTGTCTCTGTCTGTCTCTCTCTCTCTCTCTCTCTCTCTCTCTCTCTCTCTCTCTCTCTCTCTCTCTCTCTCTCTCTCTCTCTCTCTCTGTCTCTCTCTCTCTCTCTCTCTCTGTCTCTCTCTCTCTCTCTCTCTCTTTCTCTCTCTCTCTCTCTCTCTCTCTCTCTCTCTCTCTCTCTCTCTCTGTCTCTGTCTCTCTCT